GCCACCCAATGACTTCCCATGGGTGAAGAGCAGACACATGGCCACATGCAAAAATAACTTCCACCAGCTCTGAGGAACACCAGCACCAAACCCAACACATACCTTTGGGAAGAAGGACAACACTACGCTACCGTTGTCACCACTACTGATGCTACCGATGCTACCAGCCCCTGCCTGGACTGCAGGGGGTCACCAGAAGGGCCTGCAGCACTTTGCCAGTCCATTGTAGCAGGTACCAGCGGCTCTCTGAAACAAGGGACACAGCAGGAACGAACACTCGCCCTTCATCTTCCGACACGTCACGGTGTCTGACCCTGTAATGGAGAAAAAGAGTGAGGTTGTTCTCATTTACAGAATCTCTCCCTCTTTCCCAAACAAAAAAATCCCCATTGAGTGTATTTATACTTACCAGCAGCGGCGTGGGACACCACGAGGAGAAGCAGCAGCAGGAGGAGTATCTTCATGGCTTTTGTCGACATGGTGGAGTGTCACCGCAAAGCTGCTGAGCCCAGGAGACACTGCAGTAGGAAGGAACGAACCTGTGCTTACAAGGCTTTGACGAATGCAACCTGCAGGGATTTAGCAATGGCATTTGAATCCGAACAATGTATTTAAAGGATGCACATTGTAACCTCTAATTACCAACTCTTCTGTGGATAGATGCCACTACGTGTCCCCACCCTGAGAGGAATTTTCCTCTTAACACTGACACCTGCTGGCTCCCGAGTCCAGACCCAAAGCACCATCTCCTCCACAAACAGCAGAGACAGGCAGATATTCCAGCAACCATTCGGCCAGAGCAATGACCATGTGCACAAGGTGCAGTTCACTTCAAGGTATCTGCACACTCGAGTCTCGATAAGATCATAGAATCACAGAATCACAGAGTGGTTTGGGTTGGAAGGGACCTTAAAACACCATCCAGTTCCCCCCCCTGCCATGGGCAGGGACACCTCCCACCAGCCCAGGTTGCCCAAAGCCTCATCCAGCCTGGCCTTGAACCCCTCCAGGGATGGGGCATCCACAGCTTCTCTGGGCACCCTGGGCCACTGCCTCACCACCCTCACAGGGAAATATTTCTTCCTAGTATCTATTCATCTTTGCCTCCAGAAATGCAGATTTTACACAGAAATGAATATTTGTTCCCATTTTAGACCCAAGAAAATATTGCCCAAAGCCACATGGAGACTGAATCCAGAATCCGTCCTACCAAGACCTCGTACCTCTCTGTGTGCAACTCCAGCAGCACAGCTGAGAGGTCTCTGCAACTCCTTGTTCTCCCACTTCAAGAGGGGGTTAAAAGATGACAAGGTGCACCAGAGTCACAAAAAATCACTTGAAGGTTGGAAAAACAAACACACACACCTCCCGCCAGCCAGCTGATGTACAAACATTTGGGAGCCTCCTGCGTGATTTTGCAAAAGCACTGACAAAACCTCGGATGATATTTGGATTTAATTATAACAGATTGTCGTGACCTTTCCTGGGCATTTATTTTCTAGAAAGTATGTGCTTCTCAGAGAACGGGGTCTGCAGGGCTGGAGATTGGGGAAAAAGCAGAGAGGACACGGCTCTGCACAGACGAGGGCACCTGCAGACACCAAGGGTTGGGATGACATTTCACAAAGGTTTCATCTCTTGGGTAGGGGGGGAAAAATAAACAGAATTAATTTGTGGCTCCCTGCACATCATGTCCTGGCTGCCACCTAGTGCTCGTGCCTGCGGTGGATGCACAGCACTTGGGCATCGCAGGAGGGGACATGGGGGCGAGTGCGCAAGAAACTGGGGAACATCAGGACAGACTTAGGGGAGTGCACAAGAGACTGGGGATCATCAGAATGGACTTGTGCAAATGCACAACAACCTGGGGAACATCAGGATGGACTTGTGCAAATGCAGAACAGCCGGGGGAACATCCGAATGGACTTTCGGGAGTGCACAAGAAACTGGGGAACATCCAGATGGACTTCTGGAAATGCACAGCAACCCAGGGAACATCAGGACGGACTTGTGCAAGTGCGTAACCTGGGGAACATCAGAACAGACTTCTGGGAGTGCACAATCTGGGGGTCACCAGAATAGACTCGTGCAAATGGAGAACCCAGGGAACACCAGAATGGACTTGTGCAAATGCAAAACAACCTGGGGACCGTCAGAATGGACTTGTGCAAGTGCACATGAAACCGGGGAACACCAGAATGGACTTGTGCAAATGCAGAACAACCTGGGGACCATCAGAATGGACTTGTGCAAGTGCACATGAAACCGGGGAACACCAGAATGGACTTGTGCAAATGCAGAACAACCTGGGGAACACTGAGGATGGACTTGTGGGAGTGCGCAAAAATCTGGGGAACATCAGGATGGGCTTGTGCAAATGCACAGTAACCCGAGGGGTCTCAGGCCGGTGCACCCCCCTCCGCTCCGTGCTGCCGCAACACCCCGAGAAGCCCCCGTGACGCAACAAGTGACGTAACATCGCCCGGCGGGAGAGA